ACCCTGAAGGGTGTGTGACCAGCTGCAAACAGCCATCATCCCCTCACCCAGGCTGGCCAGGCACCCCAGTGGGGACCTCCACTCTGATCCAGGAGCAGGCCTAAGCCAGCAGGTCATTATCTCCCGAAGGGTCCCAGACTGCAAGAGGGGACAGGCCGGGCTGAGGGACCCTCCCCCTACCCCCCGAGTACACACATATATATGCATGTAGATACATACATATATAGGTGCCTGTAGATATGTGTATCTATACACATATATTTTTTATATTTTAACTTGTTCATGAAGCTAGGACCTGCCTTAAATGTTTTTGCTCTCTAGACACAGCTTTGCTGCCATAAATGTTTGGCAAACAGTAAATATATTGTTTGACCCAATAAATGCTTATCCATCTTCTATAAAATTAAAGGTATTGGATCTAAATTTTTCTACCTTAGAATTAGGATGTTCCAGGTTTTAAGCTGAACACTTAAAGGGCCATATTTCATATTTACCTCCCCAAAAATATAAAACATGCAACTACTGAATGCTTGAAATAAGGCTAGTCTAAACTAAGATACACTGTAATTATACAGTACTCACTAGATTTTGATGACTCTTAAAGAAAAAATAATCTCACTGATAATTTTATTTTGATTATATGTGGAAATGAAAATATTTTGGATATAGTTGGTTAAATAAAATACAATATTAAACTAATTTTTTTAATTTTTAAAAAAATGTGGCTCTATAAAATTTAAAATTACAAATCTGGCTAGCTTTATATTTCTATTTCATAGTGTTCTTACATGTACTACATCAACTTTCACTTTGGTTTCATTATTTGTGTTCCTTAATTCAACACTATTTAAAAATATATTATACATAGTTGCCAGATCTTATCAACTAATAAGCATTGCATTTGTTTTTATTATAATAACTAATGATATCAAGTTCCTTACAAACTGTTCTTATGAGTATTATACCATAGTTTTTATTATGCTTTTACTTAAGTTAATGCATGTGATAACAAATCATAGCATGTAAATTATAATTCATACTTAAGTCATGTTTTTGAGGCTGATGTAAAACTTTGATCTTCAGCAGTTTTTGAAATACATGTTAATTCCTGGCACAATAGCATCCTGAATTAGATTTTATTAATTTGTCAACACTGAATACTAGCTTTGTAATGATGAGAAAATAATTATAAAAATACAATAAGCTCAAGCCGGTGTGGCTCAGTTGGTTGAGAGTTGCCCAATGCACCAAGAAGTCACAGGTTCTATTTAAGCCAGGACACATGCCGGGCTGCAAGCTGCCTCTGCAGTAGGAGGCATGCAGGAGGCAGCTGATGGAAGTTTCAACCATCAATCTCTCTCTCTCTACCTCTGCCT